TCTCGGCGAAGGGATATTCCTCCGCCGCACATGTGGTAACTCCTCTACCGGTGTCTCTCGCAGGGAACTTATTTATCGCCGCTCGTTTCCCCAGCGCTCGCCCACAAATATGGAACAGGTTATACAAATACTCGAGAAAACCACATCGCCAGGTGAGTAAAGCACAAAGAGGGGCGAATGTCCGCCGAACTGCGTTAGAAAAGAGAGGAATGTATCGGTGGGTCTTCCCGCCTTGTTTGTTACCATACGTGAATCGGACGAAATGGCCAGAAATTTCACAAATTCTGATACATTGGGGCTCATCATTGCATTCGCCCTTCGCGGCAGAACGAATGTCATGTAGTTTAAGCGCAGATGAGATGTGGATGGAGTTGTAAAGCCAAATAAACCCGCAAAGGCATTCTGGGTCCAGGCGGCCATATTAACGTCAACAACTTCAAACTTCCACTCGTGGTTTTAAAAATATTTAAAACTCTCCTCGCCATTTTAGAATGGAGACAATGATCCCACCAGACCCCAAAATGTGGTGGAAAACTTCTTGAATATTAAGCGTAGGCCACCGACACGTGGTAGGGGGTAGGCTTAATAACGTTTTTATGAATGGCCTTGCTACCACCTCAGACCAGGCCATGCTGGTGGTTCAGGGTCTACTTTGGGGGTTGGTGGATCGAAGGTCGTGGAATTACAATGGAGGAAGGGAATTAAATCTACTAATAAGGTGGATGAGAAGAGTATGGAGTGTGCACCTTAGTCGATGAGAATGTAGGTCTAGATGTTTGTATTTATTATTAATTTATTGTGAAGTAAGCCTGCTAAGAAATAACCCAATATATTTTATTTGTTAGACATTTGATTTTAGTAAGGCTATTGAAAAATCTTGTTTCTATTTTGGTGTTGCTTTAATACCTTTCAGGTACACTATAATAACGAAGAACACTTTATAACGTACTTTCATACTTATATTGGTAGTTGCGCAGGTGTAATATGTAGTGGATCATCACTATTTGTCAAATTGCCTGCATTACAAAGGCATACTGATTGCTCAGATGAAAATGATGCTAGGTTGTGATTTAGGCTGGAAGAATTCTACCACATTTCACTTTGTATTTCTTGAAGCAGTCCTTGCTTAAAAAATCCATTAGTTTTGGTATTACTGGATTTTTCATATTCCAAAGTGCATTTATTGTGTTCTTGTCAGCGATAGGCAAATTTGACATCAATTTAAGACCTGCTCCATGGGGAGGTTGAAATATTATTGGGAAATGGGAAATACTAAGCTAATACTTTTTTAGTACTGATGTACACACAAGCGAGTTACAACTCCATGTCACAAAATTTATTCACAAATTTAATTTAATAATCGAAGTTGCCATGATTGGGTTTGCCCTTCAGGCAATGCCTGAGGAGAGGGTTGGTCATCTTCACCTGGTATGTATAGCAAAATAAAGAGCCAAAACTCAGGAGCACCAAGTTGACTTGTGGTGGGAACGGCACTTTCCCTAGTCTCTCCTTTACTTTTGGCATTGCCATTTGTGTCTGCTGATTATTTCTTGTACCATTAAATGCAACTTTTTGTCCTCTACAAGCACATTAATTTGCCCAATCTAAGTACATCCATACTGTAAAGATCAACCAATGTCAGGTATCTACCACTTCAACCAACAATATAGAAAAGAGACAAGTCTGTGTTATGTCTTGATATGGATTTCATTACCCAACTCAGGTATTTATTCTCGTGTAATGAGAACTGGTCTGATGATCATTTCCGTAGTAATCACAACCGACAAACTTGGTGTTAAGTCCCGAGGGAAGTGTGTAAAATCAGCTCAAATAATGCTTATAATTGGCTAATGAAACTCTAGACTTGTCTGCCATCTTTAAAAGTACGGAATGATGTGCCAATAATAAAAAAATATATATATAATAATAATTAGATAAAAACTGAAAAAAATATTATTAATTAGGGAATCCAATCCAACTTTTAGGTGAATTCTACAGGAATTCACACCATCCAATATATCCTGTCCAATAAAGCAACTTAATTCCATGTCACAAACTTCATTCAACAATCTAAATTGCCGTGGCTAGGTGTTCCCAAGGGGAGGGTTGATAAGGGGCTTTATCCCCTAACATTCTTTTCACCTTGGTATATATGGCATACATACCTTTAAGAATAAACCAAACACCTTTATATCTTGAGGCACCAAATTTTCCTTCACTTCTATTTTCTGGATGGCATGTTTTCTGATAAACTTTTCCGGCACTTTAGGGCACTTTATGGGCTCACTTATCAAGATGTGATAGTTACTAAGGTCTATTACTTCTGCATAGCCACTATTTTTTTTTTTCTTTCTTTCTTTCTTTCCTTGCATTTAGACAAATGTTGGTTAAAGAAATATAATTTAAAAATGTATCATATTTTAGTCATAAAATTGCATACAAAATTTTCATTTCCTCAAAAGCACATGCACTCTCCTTTATAGGTTTTTATTTTGGAATTTGTTATCGAAAGTGATGTGCCCTCCAGAGACTAAATCTCAAAACCAGGGTATTATGTGAACCCAATATCCCAAACCTAGCCTTTCTACCTTATATTTAATCCCTTGACAGGGGGGGACAAGCCCCTTGTAACCTCCCCCATTAGCACTTCGTACTAATAAAGCCGGGGTAGCATATGTCAGACCTAAGGCCCCAACTCCAACAAACCAATGAATTAAGCCAGCCTTAAATATACAGACTACTGCAAAGGTTACCATATAAACCAAAAACCTTCCTATATAAAATTAGTATATTGCAATGATATGTTATCAGTTTAGTATTTCATACTGCACTGTAAAGATGCAAGTGATATACAAATATGGATGCAGTGCAATATTTGAATGCATATTATATGTACAATATGTGAGTGTGCTCCCTTTTCTTTACTTTTATGCAGTTTTGATTTGTTTTTTAGTTCATAGAACTTTAGTAATGAAAGTAATAAAAGTGAATTTGATAAAGTGAGGCCATCTATATCTAGTAATTGATTACTTTGGGAATAAGCACTTACAGCAATGAATGTATGAACAAAAAAGGCAAAATTGTAGTGGATTAGTGTATGTATGCATGCCCTTCAGGTGTCTGATTGTTAATGTAGTATTCCATTTTGGAACAAAACAGCTTCAAAAATATTGTGTGCAGCTAAACTACCAACTCACTTGAACCCCTATGCCATCAGCTGTTAAGCCTGTGAATATAGGGGGTCACATACTCTCAGAGGAAAATAATGTGATGATTTTAGTTTTGATTGAATATATATATTTTTTTCTTCATTCCTTTTTCTAGTCATGGCAGTCGGCAAGAATGAAACCATTTGAACTTCAGGAAAATAAAATGATAGTACTATATACAAGCACAAAATTGATGCTGTGGAATATGAATTAGTTTATATAGGTATGAAGGATCTGATATTAGAAAGGGTACTCAAAGTAATTTACATGAAGACTATGAATCCCTTGCCATATATATTTTGGTGAGATAAACTTGTAATAATACCAGTCTTCACCTATCTTTGCAGAATATTTCTTAGTAGTTTGTCGTTTGTCTTTGCCAAATCCTACAGATCATGGAGACCGTGGCTGTTCAATATGGCCCCAATTAGCAATAGTATTATGCTTGACTGGCCTAACTCATAATACCTTTGAATCAAAAAAGTCATTTCTTGAATAAAACATGGGAGTTTTTCAGAAGAGGACCTTATAAAGTCATGCTATGCCCTTCACACTTGGTGCTCTGCTAAAGATTAATCCCCCCCCCCCCCAGGCTGTGAAATGTTGCTGCTTATATGCATGCATTATTATTCTAATAATTGATTACTTTCCTATTTTGATATCTGTATAGCATCCTTATGTGAGCCTTTACAATATTTTCTTTTTTAAAAGTAATAATAAGTGTTACGTTTGGTATTTAGCACAGGATAGTGAGTTGCAGTCGATCATCACACAAACACACATGCACATCCACATGATCATCTCTTGTACAAATAAGCATGGTGTGCATAGATGTATATTTAGCACAAAAATGCACTGCATTTCACATGTTGAAGTAATTTATTAACATAATGGTTCCTTTCTTTATGATTAACACTAGGTTCTATTGCTTTTATGTTTACTATTCATACACAGACCCACAACTAATCATTTTCACTTTTATTCACAATTTCAAACACATTGAGAGGAACCTTTTTTCACTCTTTTGTCTACAAACTTTCATGGAAGTTCAATAACATGTCCACACATCCATCTTTTTCTATGCATTCACATATATTAAAGTACACCAATATATGTAAATGGTAATTATTATGTTTTATTTATTTATTTATTTTTCTATGTTTCTTTAGTATGATTACCTAGTTTTAGCAAAATGTAGATGAAATGTTTTTGATTTAATTGAAATGACTGAATCGTAAGCTAATTTTAGATGTTTGCTTCTTATGTGGTAATAGTAATTAAAAAAAAAAAAAAAAAAAAAAAAAACGTATTGTAATGCATTTTAGTGTAGTTGGCAATGCCAGAATATAGGCTTTATATGTTTTGACTCCTTATGTACCCATTGGGTAGTTAAGTTATATAGATATTGGTGAAGAGTGACCATGTCTATATAGGGTTGATAGTTAAAGATTTGTATATTTTCAGATAAAACTGAGTTGGAAACTGCATTAAATTACCTAGAGCAGGCAGCACAATCAAATTTGGTAAGTGTCATTGTATACTGAAGTAAAGGTAAAGGCATATAGATTTTTCATGATCTGTTTCATGATTAATGACAATTTCAAAAGGTTGAATTTAGTTTAAGCTAAAAGATTTATAGAGCGCGCAAGTTTTTAAAATTGTATGATTAATACTCAAGAATATATGATCTTTAAAATTTCCTTTAATTTACAGCCAATTATAAAATTTCTTTTATTTTACAGCCAGAATATGTGAAAGTACTGAGCGATGTATTGCACCATGGAGGAAATTCCACCGTGGCCCGAATGGCCGCGGGTATTCAGCTGAAAAACACATTAGCTTCCAATGATCCCAAAGTTAAAGTACAGTATCAGCAGCGGTGGCTGGCATTTCCACCAGATGTCAGGGACTACGTTAAGGCTAATGTAAGAAGGATTATGACTTTAGTGCTTTATTTTGTATATATGCATCTAAACAAGTGGTGCCTTATTTTTGTGTATATTTATATATGAACATTTGCTTAGCTCTGTATATTTTACCCAAGCTCTTTATATATGGGCTTAATGCATCTGAACAGAAATTTAATTGTAAACTTTATTTCTAGGTTTTGGGAGCATTAGGTACAGAGCAAAACCGGCCAAGCTCAGCAGCACAATGTGTTGCCTACATTGCATTGACAGAAATTCCTGTAGGCCAATGGCCAAACTTAATAGACAGATTGGCCAAACCCCACAATATAACAGCTCCTGGAGCCACAGATATGACAAAAGAGTCCACTCTAGAGGCTATTGGATATATTTGTCAGGTGAGTACTATGGTCAAACAATGCTGCAATATTAGAAATGAAAAATTACTTTAATGATTTGAGATTGAAGTTTACTTCAGTTTTAACACAATGGATGTTTTGACATTTTGTTATAACCTTGGTATTCAAACAGGTTTATTTATTTTGATAGTTGGGAGTTTGATTGTATATGAATTACTGTACTTCTTTTGTATGTATAATTTAAATTTTGTTTTTATTCATCATTTCAGGATATAGAGCCAGATGCCATAGCTTCACAGAGTAACAACATCCTCACTGCTATTGTTCATGGTATGAAGCGTGATGAACCCAATGATCATGTTAGACTCGCAGCAACGACGGCACTTCTTAACTCGCTTGAATTTACAAAACAGAACTTCGAAAGGGATGCTGAAAGACATTTTATTATGCAAGTAAGTATTTTGCTTTTTTCAGGCAACAAGTTTTTCTATTGTTTTACATTGAGATTTTCCATATAGTTACATGCATAACATAGCGATAGTATATTTAGAATAATTTGTTTATTTTTTGCAGGTGGTTTGTGAAGCAACCCAATCTACCAATACTCAAATTAAAGTTGCTGCCCTACAGTGTTTGGTAAAAATAATGTCACTATATTATCAGTACATGGAGCATTATATGGGACCTGCATTGTTTGCAGTAAGTGGTTTTAATTGTAGTTATAAAATATTGTTAAAATTCCCTGACTTAATTTGATTACATGTAATTTAATATTTTGAAATGTAATACATCTAATATAATACTGTCAGTCAGTGTGGCTGATGCTTTCATATGTATTCATTACTCTCAAAAGTGTTTTGTGATTTCTTTCTAGCACCATTATTCTCCTCTTTCCTTTTTATACCTGCATATATATCCATCTGCCACTTCTGTCAGTGTTGGGCTATTGTTAATCTCAGATAGGTATGACCACTATATTAGATAAAGTTTCTCAATTTGATATTTTCTTAAAAAGATCACACTTGAAGCCATGAAGAGTGACATAGATGAAGTAGCACTACAAGGCATAGAGTTCTGGTCGAATGTGTGTGATGAAGAAGTGGATCTTGCCATTGAGGCTTCTGAGGCAGCTGAGCTTGGCCGTCCCCCAGAGAGAACCTCTCGCTTCTATGCCAAGGGAGCATTGCAGGTGTGTTATCGTAGTATTGGGTATCTACATTGATTGTATTGCATATGAAAATTTTTGATGGAAATCATTTTTCAGATATTTTAGTTTGAACATTTCTTTCTTATAGTATCTAGTCCCAGTACTGATGATGACACTTGGAAAGCAAGAGGAAGCAGATGATGATGATGAGTGGAACCCCTGTAAAGCAGCTGGAGTGTGTGTTATGCTTCTTGCAACATGTACTGAAGATGATATTGTACCCCATGTCCTGCCTTTTGTAAAGGAGAATATTAAGCACACTGACTGGAGACTCCGAGATGCAGCGATAATGGCATTTGGTTTGTATAGAATTTTGTTGCATAAAACCCCTGAAAGTTCTAGTATTTAATGTAATAAATTGTCAGTTGTTTTTCTTTATAAATGAGCACCAGGTTTGATTTTAACTAATCAATCAGTCTTTATAAATAAAAGCAAACTTGTTTTACAGGTTCGATTTTGGAAGGTCCTGATCCAACCAATCTTAAACCAATGGTGGAACAGGCAATGCCAACCCTGATTGAGGCTCTTAGTGATTCGTCTGTAGTGGTGCGAGACACAACAGCTTGGACTCTGGGTCGAGTGTGTGAACTAATCCCAGATGCAGCATGCAATGACACTTACCTCAAGTTATTGCTAGAAGCATTAGTTCACAGCTTGAAGGGAGAACCAAGGGTGGCATCAAATGTCTGCTGGGCTCTCAGTTCACTAGCTGAAGCTGCCTATGAACAGGCGGATACTGGAGAAGTTGACGGCGAGCCACCAACCTATTGTCTGTCTGCATTCTTTGACCCCTTGGTAGATGTTCTTTTGCAAACTACAGACAGAGCTGATGGAAACCAGTGTAATTTAAGAAATGCTGCCTATGAGGCCCTCATGGAACTTATGAAGAATTCTCCAAGGGATTGTTATCCAACTGTCCAAAAAACTACTATGATAATTTTGGAGAGGCTTCAGCAAGTATTGCACATGGAGTCTCAGATTCAGTCCCATAGCGATAGGGTTCAGGTGAATGATATTCAGTCGCTGTTATGTGCAACTCTCCAGTCAGTCTTAAGGAAAGTAACCCCTGAAGATGCTCCAAAAATCAGTGACCCCATCATGGCTGCTCTGCTGCAGATGTTCCAGACGTCTCAGGGCAAGTCAGGGGGCGTGCAGGAAGATGCACTCCTTGCTGTTTCTACTCTGGTAGAGGTGTTGGGGCATAACTTCTTGAAGTACATGGAAGCATTCAAGCCTTTCTTGTCTTTGGGCCTGCGAAATGTTGAAGACTACCCTGTATGCTCAGCTGCCGTGGGGGTTACAGGAGACATATGTCGTGCTCTGGGTGATAAAGTAGAGCCATTCTGCGATGAACTGATGTCCATGTTGGTAGAGAATCTTGGGAATAATAATGTTCACAGAAATGTGAAACCATCCATACTTTCAGTATTTGGTGATATGGCTTTAGCTCTAGGACCCAAGTTTACCAAATACTTGGAAGTGGTCCTTCAAATGCTTCACCAGGCATCTCAAGCCCAAGTTGATCGCTCAGACTTTGATATGCTGGACTATCTTAATGAATTACGTGAAAGCTGTTTGGAGGCTTATACTGGTATTGTTCAGGGTTTAAAAGGTGATGGGGCAACACCAAACCAGGAAGTGCAGCTCCTGCGTCAACATGTGCCCCATATGATCTCTTTCATAACTTCCGTTGCTACAGATGATGAAAAATCTGATCCTGTTATTGCTAGTTCAGCTGGTCTGATTGGGTGAGTTGAGGATAAATTAGTCGTCTATATGTTGGAAAACATGTGCAAATTTTGATATAAAATTTTTGATATGTATTTTTAACATTTTTAAATACTTAATTTAGATTGAGGTTATCGCACAACATTTTCTCACATCTGAAATTTCTCAATGCTAACAGAATTTCTTTTACCACAGGGACTTGTGCTCTGTGTTTGGAACAGACATGCTGCAATTGGTGGAGACTGATCCTATCACCAATCTGCTCTCTCAAGGCCGGCGCTCCAAGACTTCGAAGACAAAGACCCTTGCAATGTGGGCAACTAAAGAAATCCGTCGCTTGAAAAACAACAGCACTTGGTAAGTACTCTTAGGTAGGTGATATGTTGGCTGTGGGTAAAGGGTTAACTTAATGGGGCTCTGGATACTAACATGTTTCTTCTAGGTGTCTACATTCCTAAGCTAAGCACATGGTCTGGATATGTGAAAGTTCATACATTACTTGCCTATGTTTTTATATTTCTAATGTTCAGTGTTAAATAAATGTATGAAAAAACAGTACATAATTTCTGACTGACTGTCATATCTTGAGCAAGTAACTTGTGGACCTTCATAATTCTAGGATTGGCAGATGGTTTTAGCTTACAGATTTTAGAGACATATTTAGAGGGATGAAATGGGAAATGAAGATTGAAGCTCTTCAATTTTTCACTCAGGATATTTATTCAGAAAAGAAGGTTCAGGAGCAATACATATATTGTATAGATCTAAACTTTTTGGTTAAATGGCTCAATTAGAGTATTACTGATAGCCTTAAAACCCTTTTGGATAGATATGATTTGTAGGGTTTTAAGCATAATGATAATGAGATTATAGAGGCAGGGAAGATCAACAGATCTTAATAATTCATTCATTTAATTTATTCACATATGTTCCAATTCATTTATTCACACTTTCACTCTCTCATTTACTTGCTCACGTGCTTACATAGTCTTTCACTTACAGTACATCCATTCCTAGGAAAGGAAATACTAGCAGTTCACCCTCGACTCTTAGAGTACTCCAACTCGCCAAAGTTTATTTTATTGTTGTCAAATGATATTTGCTACTAATGTACACATTTTGTATTTTAAGACTTGTATGCATTATTTTTATAGCTTTTAACCCATTAGCAACGGGTGTCCCATATGAGATACCCCCCAAAAATTAACATTGCCGGGCGTCCCGCCAGTGTGACGCTGTATCGGGGCTCGCGCTCCGATGCAGCACTGGGCTGCGGCTGGCGGGCGGACAGACTACCAATTTTGTAGCTGACCGGAATATTTTATTTTTGGCTTCAAAATATACCGGTGTGAATGGGTTAATAGAAATCTACTCTTCTCAATTCCACTTTATTCTTTCTTAAAAGCGATTTGGCAAATTGGATTATTCAAGAGTCTGGGGCGAGTTGCTAGATTTTTCTTTCCTGTGGTACGATGGAGTATAGTCACTAGCTTGTTTACTCGTTCACTCACTCACTCATGCATACTCCTGTTATTCATCCTACTTGCTCAGTCTTGTGCTCAATCAGTATTCTGGCACATTCACAGCTATTCACTTTTGGCTTTCAAGCCATTCATCTCTATTTTCAGGTATAGATTTGATATTAGGACTATTTTCTTTGATATATGATAGTTTTATTTATAAGTATTTCTGGGGTTATGGGAATATAGGAGTTGAATAAAGTACATAAACTAAATAAAGGAACATAAAATACCCACACTTCTTTCAGAATGTTAAGGTGCCTGTTCTATATTTATAAATTTTCTTTTGAATGTACTGAGACTGTATGGTAAAATCTGGTGATATGAAAGCTTTCCTCAACCACAGCTTGTGTGAGAAATGCTTCACTCTTCCAAAGTGTGTCTTTGAGAGAATACAAGTTCTTTTGTATACCAGATAGTCATCACATTGTTTAGGGGAGGTGGAGGGAAGTACGTGTGACTGGATTACGTCCTTAAGTGTCATCTAACTGGTAGTAGCCCCTAACTTGGCTTTTCAGATGAGTGGCGAGTTTAGTCTGTGGTGAGTCGATGCAGTGAGTCAGATGCGGTGTGTCTGCATGGAGTGAGGGAAGAGCGTTGCCCGGCTGTGGTGAGTGGTGACCGTTCAGCGCGTGGGGTGTGTGGTGAGTGAACAGACAAACATGGACGATCGCAAGTGCGGCAGTTTGGCCGAATGTGCGATGACGACCGGATGGCCTCGGAAGAGTGTGAAAATATCTAAAACTTTTCTTGAATGACGGGAATATCTTCTTTTATGAGAATATCAGAAAATCATTTCCAGTGAATCATTCCAGCTCCCAGGAAAAGATCTGCCTCATTTGCTCTGTAAAGCATGTAAAACTTTTCCAAAGTGAGTCCTATTTATGAACTGTGGTTTTTGAAAGCCAGTCCTTTCAAGTGCCTTTATGTGGGAATGAATGGTGCTGTAGCCATGAGTCGGGTACCCTACTGGTAACTGATCCATCTACTGTAATATAAATACAAGTGGGGATAGTATTCCAGGGTGTCTAGTCAAGGGTACAAAGGATTTTCAACTACTACCACTTCAATTCTGTTAGTGTTAGCCAAGTTAATCTATTCTATCTGCAGGGCAGCCTTCTGCTTTATTCCAATGCAGGTCTTTATAGATTTTCTGAGTCCTCTTTAAGACACAGTCTGCCAAATAATCTACCAATCAGTAATTTTTTTTTTTTTTTTTTTTTTTTTTTTTTTTTTTTCTCTTCTTTCTTTCTCTTTCATAAACTATTGAAGAACATTCTTGAAAGTAGTTAAGATCAATTTGGGATAATGCAGATAATCTTTTCCTGTTATTATACATCCTCAGTTAGTCTCCTAGTTCTTCGGTGACAGCACATGTGTGTTTAGGGCACTAGAATGGGATGCGGCTCTAATTGTTCTTTAGTGGCATTTTGAGGCACATAAAAACTGAAATCATGAACATGAGTACCACCTAAATATTTCAAACAGTATTTCAAATGGTTATGCTCAATTTTTTTTTTCTAATTTGTTTTTCTTTTTGTTATGCATGTTAAATTTAAATTAAAAAAGAGGTTATTATTCCCTGTCAGGTTCTCTTGAATGAAGTATAAATTGTGTGCTGCTGTTTGCAAGCAATAGTGAGTTGGATAGTAATGGTATCAGCTGATGATTATTGACTGGCTAATATTTCCCCCCATGTACACAAGTGAGCCATGTCAAATCCCTCTTAGTTTGTGATTGCTAATGTTGCATTTTGCAGTGTAAGCCCTAAATGTGCAATGTGAGAACTGAGGTGTGTCTGCAAGTTGTTGGAAGAGAGGACATAAACCCAGTACAATTTAGTTTTGATTTTGCGTGAATGAATCTTAATGTATATGGGTTAAATCTTTCTTCCACTTACTTGTGGAAACTTAGTTGATACCAACAACCCACCTAAGTGACTGAACTGGTACAGTGATAGAAGATAATTTGCAATTCAATAGATAATGGTTTCAAATCTTGAGGACAATGTTACAAAGCTTCATTTTCCAAGTACATAAGTTTCCTTATTTAAAGAGGTTGGGTAGTATGGTTAAGTTTTAACACTGTGCTCAAGTTAGAGGATTTCTAAAGATGCCAAAAATGGTACCATGGAAGGAGCAAATCTGCTGCAGTCCTGTGACTGGTGAATGCTTGACTGTGATAAAGAGGCCCTGTGTGATGTGGCGCTGAGTAAGTGTGTGGTGCAAGATGCTGTGCAGTCCAGTAGTGTTATGAACGTAAAGTGAAATGGACTGAATGTTAACTTTCACACCACACTTCTTACACAACAACTGCAAAATTCCTGAGGAAGATGACTAAGAGTACTGGAGTGTGGATAAGTTTACACACTTGGACTATACATGAACAATAGGCGCGCATCCGGTGCTTTCTTCCTTGCCATGTTAGCACATTTCCCGCATGTTAGCAACCTGGGAAGTTGAGAGGTCTTTGATCTTGCACCATTCTTCCTGGGTCTGGCATGCTGACATCCCCAGTGACGTGACTCAAGTGACTGAGGGTGCGAGTGCAAATTTGTTCGTTCTTGAAGGACGTGTGACTGTGATACTGTGTTCCTCTAGTGCAAATGATACTGTGTGAGTGTGTACATTCCACCAGATGGTGTAGTATTAGTGTACAGAAACAACACAAAGTTAAACTAATGAACCTGCAACAAAAGTTCATGGTTTAGCTCATGTAGAAATGTAACTTGTTATTGCCTCCAAATAGACAGAGCTTTGTGTCTGAAACTTCTTCACTAAAGTTATTCATGACATACATGATGTAATTTCAGTGTGTGGATAAACCTAGTGTATATTTTTTCACAACCCGTTGATATTCAATCTGTTTCATTTATAATTTGATTACTTCTTTTGGTACTTTAAGGCTAATAATTTTCCTTTAATAAACCCTGTACTATATTTACAAATGCAAACCTTTGAATAAATAAGTTTGTGAGAAATGTTTACATATTTTTTTTTCCTTTTCCTCAGTGTAATTTGAGAAAATGCTTTCTGATTTTGCATTTTTTCTAGTGGAAATAACAACGTGAGACCAGTGAAATGTATAACATTGAAGTAATTGTGTTCATGTAATGTTTATTTTATTCCTCATGAATTCTCTCCATAGTACTAATGATTACACTAGAGGCATTCACTGGAATAGTGACTTGTGCACAGAAACCATGAGCTAAGTTATTCAGAGGTGATCTCACTATGTTGGGATGGCTGGGACACATCCACAGGTGTAATACAAGACTAAACCATATTCAGTTTATATGCTTCAAAAAGCACTTATGTAAAGCCAGACAGTGGAAAAGTCATAAACATATATCCAAAATAAATATTGCAGAAGTAACCAAATCTTATTCTCCTTTCTTGACAATATAATTCCAGAACAAAGTTTCAAAGTGGTCATGCACAACTTGTTAGCAAAATCTGGTAATAAATTCAATTTCAATTTATTGGAAATGCCTTAGATTTTGACTTTGACAGCAAAGCAAAGTAATGTTCTTATTGCCCACTGATTATTGTTACATCTTCATGAACTTGCATACGTTTACTGATTGGAGGTTATATTTTGGTTATTATTATTATTGCTTTTTTGTACAAAATGGTCCTGTTGCTAGTGAAATTAATAAGGGTTTCTTTAATCAGTGCCTCTTTGGGTATTTTTACCCACAGATCTTGTATTTTTGTTATTTGTCAAGTATTTCTGAAATGTTTGTGACAATATTTATTATCTTCAGCTAAATGAATATAATCATGCATATCATGCTTCCATTTCATTATGTAATTTTGTAAGACTGCTTGGGTTTCTAGCCTTTTGCAAGAGTTTGTGCAATCTTTTTACACGAGTATGAAACTGCAGATAACAAAAGGTAAGAGCAAGAAAATGTCCTCACAGTATTAGAGATGATCTGTTGAAGATACCACTGATCTGTAATGACCAGATGCTATTTTAACCCCAAGCCGCCGGCCATGGCAAGTACGTACATGCCATTGCACATTGTGTTTTTACATATAGATGGCTCCACAAGTACTGTCACCAATGAGCCAATTAGGCAAACTACTTGTCTCACCTGTTTACTCTTTTCCTTGATTTTTGATAATATTTTCTATTACTGCTGTTATTAATATCAGTAACATTATAGTAATTATAATGTTTATAACAAAAATGAGTCAGTATTGATAGCATTAGTAAAAAAAAAAAAAAAAAAAAAAAAAAAAAAAAAGCCTTTTCCATCTCTTGCAAGGAAAAGCGAGGTCACAAGATCTACTAATTGACTCCTTTGTGGCTAAGCATTGGCAGAGCCATCTATGTACAGAAACATTTAACCAAGCATTGCCAAAGGAAACGCACCATTTTCCAGTCAACATTGGGTTAAGCTGATCTTGTTTCCTGAGAGAGAACACAATGTACACAAGGTTTCCATAAAGCTTATGAAAACCAGAATTACCGTTAGCATTTTTGTGTTCACTATATATGATTAGACTGAATCTGCTATTTCAAGGTAAATATGTTTTAGCAATTCCGGATTGGGATAGCTTATAGCAAAACTTGTGTAACCAGTCATCATGACCATATATTGTCAGGTTATCAGGTTGATATTGTTGGAGGTTCCTGCAGTTTGATTTTACTTCAGATAGAATTTTACAGAGCACTAAAAAGTGTCATTAAACTTATTGTGGAATGCAAACTACAGCATTAGCAGTATGGAATTAACCTTTTTTATCAGAGGATCCCCATGATTTTGCTTATAATAAAGTCAATTTTTTAAAAATTTATGCATTGAAGGATTTAAGCAAAACTTAAAAAGCCCAGAATTGAACTATAGGTATTGGTTTTTCAATTTCAGAACAGTTTAAAGTTCAGGTGCTAAAAAAATGAATGACTACAAATTTCCAAGTCCTTTTTGTATGGTACTAGGTGTGAAGAAAATCACGAGATAGAACCATTATTTTGTATAAATCCCCAATAACTCTTACACTATGTACTTCATTAATTTTGTTCACTTGCAGATGGCATGATAAATGCTTAGGTCACATTGATCAATTACTAGGCCTACCTAGTCTTGGCAGTTTCCTGTTGAGAGTTATTGGTTGCCTTTAATATTGCTGATGTTTATTACTTAACAATAATGTCAATAATAATAATGCCTGTACCATCATACTGCTATTAGAAATAACTTACCCTTCCTGAAAATTCAAGGAATGGGGTAAACTGGGGGTAAATTATTTACATCTTGGCAACCCCCCCCTCCACACACACACACAAACATACACAATCCCTTGCTCTGCATTGTCATAGGCGGCTTAGGAGATAGAGACTGAGGCCGAATGTAGGGATCAGCCGTTCCTTCAACTAATTTTTCCTTTTTCTGTCCACATCCTAAAGTGTGAGAACCATGCTGAAAGTCTGAAAATCTGGCTTTGGGTCAGTTCTGTATGGCCTTTCTACGCTGGTCTTCTCATTTTACCCTTTTCACTACCATACTAACGTACAGCGCACTACAACCTAACATGTTTTGTTCTAATTAACTACTTTTTAACCTTTTTGACACAATTCTTGTTGATAGTGGTGTATGACCTTTCCTTACCTGGGAGCTTTTGCCTTCAATTTCATCCCATTGCTATATTCTGCATACACAGTTAATTATCTTAGATGTTGATGTGGCAGAAAATTTTAATTAATAAAATTCTTGGAAACTAAGTACCTGTGAAGCCATCTATTTGTGAACAAAATTGACAAACTACAGGTATCAGTATTTATATCTGGAACCAGTGTTAACATGTGGCCATATATGATTGCCAGAATAAAATTGTTAGGTCAAATGCTTTACTATAAAGGATATCCTCCCTTCACCGACCTCCCAACATATCAGACATCCTTACAGAATCTCACAGCTTCTGCCTCGACAACCTGTTCTCCTTCCTCAGACACAAATATCCTTCACTTGATCTAACTCCCTTACCTAAACCACCATAATCTTTTCCCTCATCTTCAACCTCTCAACACTATTCTAGATAGTTGACACATAACTATCACCTGACATCCTCCTTTACTATACTTTCCTATAGTGCTATATGACCTTAGATGTCTAGCACATTTATCTTAACCATTAACCATTACTATAAAGGAATTGGGAGTTATTACAAAACCAGACAAAAAAATCCTGGGTAATCCTTTGTGACATTTTTTCATTCTGTTTAACTCTAATAAACATTGGTGTGATGTCAATGAAGTTATACCTTGAAAAGAATAAGTAAAGCCCATTTTAACAAAAAGGTTTTATTGTATTTATATACATTTCTGTCATGATTAAAAATGTTCAAAATGGATACTGAGGGTTTTACAAAAGAAAGAGAAAATGAAGAAGCAGGGAAAAGCAGGTTTACAGTAACTGCTATAAAGTGGTGTACATGAAGTAGCATGTTATCAATAAATAATCTTTGCATATTGTATGTACTAATTACAACTTTGGTCACATTAATGCAACAGCTATTGCATCTTGCTCTTTAATTACAAAAGTGACTCCAAACAAACAGATTGAAGCAAGGGCAAATAATAATGTAAATATATTTAACCCTGTTCACCACTCCACTCATTCTCAGTAAACAATCTTGCATTGACTGAGGTACACTTAACAAGTCTGACAGAATTGTTTATCTTCAGAAGTGAGACCTTTAATGAAGTTTTACTGAAACACTAGGGTGAAGGAAAAAGTACACTCAAAGGAGTCTTTGTACCTCATACACGTGCATACATTTAGTACCTATACAAAAATTAAGTTCTAATATAAAACATTACATTTTCACTGTGTGTAAACATTCACATACAGGTATTTAAAAAATAAATAGGTTTACAAGATACTTAAATTGTAATCTCATTGATGTATAATTGCAAAATGTTTTATTTCTAATGAATAAGAATTTCTCATGCCTCATATCGCTACTTGGCTTTAATTTACTTGGGCAATGGCAAAGCCTGCCTCAACTGTCAGTTAATAAAGACAAAACTTGGGTATGAATTCTTGTCTTGTTTTGATTCCCAAATTTCAATTACAAGTTGTATATATATATATATATATAGAAAAAACTTTTTAAGCAATATTAGGGACTCAGTAAATATTATAGTTAGATCTTGTTCAGGATAAACCCCTACTTATTCCTTTCACTTGCATACCCACACAAAGTTTTCAAATAATAATTATCAATATGTTTCAGTTGTAAATGGCTTTGTTATTCATTCACATGCCTTACCCTTTCATTCAAGTGCATTACAAAACTGTACTATGTTGTTTTACTGTAATTGACAAATAATTTTGTATTGTAACAAGTATCGCTTTGTTATACTAAATAAAAGACAGAGAAGTTATGCATACAGGTTGCTGCATCATACTCTTGTAAATTGATGTGAGTAAACATTACCCACTTTGTGGGAGTGCACTTAGTGTGAAAACAGCCCTACTGTACAACTATAGGTCTAGCACAAGCAGCAAATCAGATTACTAATTAGCTGAGCTTGATCAATCATAAGATTAATACATAAAGAGAGAGGGTTTATTCTGGGAGCCTCTAAATTGTTGCACTTCTTATGGGGATAGCAGGAAGAGGAAACTGAAGGCAAAAGAAAAAGGAAAAGAAAAAGCTTTAACTGCTGAGCTTTTGAAACATTATACTAAATAAGGCAATCACTTTCATATATATGTTCATATGCATTAATTTTGTTAACACTATGTCCAAATAAACATGTACACATGTGTAAATGGAAGCATGTCCTGGAATGACATTATTATAAATTGTGAAAGACAAACATTTCAGGGGAGGATTTACACATCTCTTACTAAGTTTATAGCATAAGAGAAAAAGGATATCTGGTACTGCACACTCCATATCCAGAGTTCACATTAGAGCATTATTTATAGACTTCTCAAAATAAACGTAATTTTCCAGAAAAATGGTATATTAATGTCTGAATCTTTTCAGTATCTATATGAACAGTAATGATATAAACAATCCACCACTATTAACAATAAGTCACCCCTGATGTATATGGAAGAAATAACATTATTTGCTTGGAAAACTATCTAACTAATACATATCCCCTAAAATATGGTAATTTCCAATTTATTTAAACTTAAAGGAAATGAATAGCAGCTAAAACTAATTTTAGTGAATACAGTCTTGACTTATTTCACATTTTGTTAACTCCACTAGTGAAGCAAAAACAAACTTTACAAACATGTGTAGTAAATACAATAAGTCAAAATTAAGATCAAAAGATTTTTCTTGTAAAAAAATATCACACTGCTGTCTTTCAGAACAAGTGGACAACCTTACTATTTTTTTTAAAGAGCCTTCTGCTTGTGTTCATGTTTTACTTGCTGGAAAAGATTGCACAAATTATCACCAACCCTTTGGTTGCAGATTAATGTACTATCCACTGTAATGTTTTGTGAATTTTGTTGCATACATGGCTCCACAAGTGCAATGCCAAAGATGAATCAGTTAGTAGGCCCAAGTGACCACCTAGGTTTCTCATTCCTTTATTTTGTTTCTAATGCTATTGGTATTAATACTGTTACTATTATTGAAATTATGATAATTAAGATATCATTACAATACTAAAAAAAATAAAAAGGAAAAGAGTAAAAAGTGAGATAGATCGGACTAATAACTGACTCCTTGGTGACTAAACACTCATGGAGCCATCTGTATAAACAAGAACTAAAATTATTGAAGACATGGCAAGTATGCCATGACAGCTGCAATAAATGGGTTAAATAATCATGTAGATTGGGGTCTTTATAAGTGGAGTTCATAAAAAAGGGAAGTAATAATGTTTCAGCAGAGGCATAAAGAACCTGTCTTATATCATTTATAAATTGAAAATTTGTACATCAAATATATAAAACAAGGTCCTTTTTTATAATCCGGTCATTCTCTTAAATGAATCTAAATACAAGTGAAACAGGCTTGAGATGATGTTAATTACAATGCAATGTTCAAAAAAAGAATAATTTATTGGAAATATGTGTTGTTTATGTTTTATTTCTTCAACTCCTTTTTTAAACACTCATACATGCACAATATATACAATAAACACTTACCTCATACATCTGAAAAGAAATTCACTGGGGACATAGATACATCACTTGAACTTAACCATTAAAGTCTTGCATAAATTGTATCCGTAAATCTAATAAAACAAGGAAATAATATAACAATAAATAATTGAGGCATTCTTGCCACATACAATTTTACAAAATATCCAAACAAAACATAAAATCTGAAAGCTAGCCATCTCATGACATTGTTTATCTTGCACAAGTGGTACACAAACAGCAAAACATTAATGTATAGCTAACAAGGTCATATAATGGCACCAGCACCATGCTACAGAGTAATAATTTGCCTCCAATACTGTGTCATCCTCCACATAAACCTCACACTGAACTTATATAACTATTTGAGAATTACTTTTTTTTTACAACAGCACATGACACAAATCACTCCGTTCTATTACATTTTTTGGTGCTCCACTTTTTGCTCTGAATCTGAAATATTTGGCTTCAGACCTCATTTTAAATTTTCCTTGACTATAAACTGCTTTAGTTTTTTGTAATATAAATCTGAGATCCTAATTCAGAAACAAATAACTCAAAACCTAAATAAAGTCACAATTTACCATTCATGTGAAGAAGAGAAAGGGGAAAAGAGATATATTCTACATTGTTCAGAAAATGACACATTATTTAATTGCCTTCTATGTTGTTGGTCCCATGCATACCCATCACTCACTCATTTTTGCTCTCTTTGCATGTTTATTCAAAATTTTGTGACTGGCAATAAAACTATTAACATTGGGATGACGTAAACATGCCAGGTACATGGTAATTATATTTTACTCATTCTATGTACACATAAATGACTCCACAAATGCTAAATTACCAAGATATTAGTTGCCTTATCAACTGTATACTCTTCTACTAGAATTTAGGAGAATATATATATTTTTTCATTGGTATTAGTATTGTTAGCATTAGAATA